TTGGCAAAGCACCTTTTTGTCATCAGGCTCACACCTTAACAAGCCGCATCACTTTAGTCACACGGAGAGTGTGTCTAAGAGAATCACGTTGAGCGTACATGAATTCGAACATTGGCGAGTTGTTAGATCGTCTTGATTATGGACGCCTAACACATTTTGGGTTATGTGGGGGAAGAAACGGAGCAATGACAACTTTCAACGACACGAGAGATCCATAAAGGTGTAGGAGTGCTAAGATGTCAAGACTTTGTCGGCTTCGGTGCCTGATGTTGTTGCTGTCATTTTCATCCGCTGATGCACACTGCATAACCGCTAACAGTTTTTAGCAAAGTTGAGTCGATCATAGTACATAAAGACTTACTGAATCCCTCTGTGAAAATTGAAGTTATTAAAACCTCTCGTAGAAGCTTAAACCTTTAATCTGTTTAACTTTTGGTCAAACAAAATGTCAGCTGCCGTTTTACGTCTGTCAGTAAGGATGAATAGGCGTCGATGCTGAAGTGCTAAGCGTAAGAAAGCGCATCAGTTCTTGTCCCCAGAGAATTCCACTATTGGTCAGCCAGCCACACCAAAATCTTCAGCTTTGTTATTTTACAACTCTCTCTTGCAAATTCATGCTCGTAGGACTGACTCACAATCGTATTAGAAATGAAACACCTCGGCTCGGGACCGTCTGTTGATACCTGTCAGGAGTGCTCAACTATAAGGTACCATCCGTTCATGTTATAGACAAGTTGAGACATGCGAATCGAAGTGTGCATACCTGGTTGACTTGGATGTACGAACAATATGCTAATCAGCTTTACCACCTTTTATGCTTTTTGACTTCTTTAAGAATCGCTTCTCTTAGTGCCTTGTTATTGAGAGGCGATACTTTCACATTCACATCGAGATACGGCTAAGTGCCATACTTCGAACTAACTTGTGAGGATAAAGTTTTAGGCCTAGTTTGATGTGGAGGCAAGAACGTAGGTACTCAGTGCTCACAAAGGTAGGCTTGCTGCATCACCCATTCCTGTGAGAAGTTGCTGAAATCTGGCCTACTTTAAGAAAAGCCTTCTCAATTCGTAGAGAAAGTTGTGCGAACTCAACAACTCTTAGAGCACTATTATGGCGGCTAAGTGGATGATTCAGCCTGTTGCTCATGTCTGCATTCTCACCACCTTCTGTGGTGGATCAAACTCTCACTCCAAAAATTGCATCATATTGAGCATCGAACCCAGAGCTTTTTAATGCAATTGGGTTTTTTTGCTTCCCTAACGCCACACTTTAGCTTTTGGCGCTTGTTTAAATGGCTTGTGGTTTTGAGCAGTAGTTCAAACCGTTAAATCTTTATTTTCAAAACGTTGTCATCAAATGGAGTTTTGTAATCGTACTGGAAGGCGTTAGAGGCTTGGTTTCTCCTTTACGACTCCTTCTCCGTTTTCTTTCCTCTTTAGAGAAGTGCCGAGGCAATAAATTCGCCTTCACCTACGACTCGAGTCGTACCGTTCAACATTCCTTTTGCAAAAGGCTTAACAGTCTAGATTTTCTTAATTGTAGTCCTGCTTTTATAGCTTTCCACCTCATCAAGTACCGCATTTTGTGTGATCGATGTGATTCTGTGTGTGGTGCTAGGATTTCCACAATTTGTCATCCACGATGTTAGTTTGGATCCCAATTGTATCGCCTCATTGCTAGTTCCAATAAAAGTGCCCGATAAGTAGCATCTTTGTGCCTTTAAGCAAATCAGATGCAACAATCCTGTTGCCACAAGGCTGAGTTTTTGAATTCGAGACATGCAGAGCTGATGCAATTGTGGAACACTCACCTCGACATCACAGTTGAAACAATTAACACTGTACTTGACTGATTCATCTCAGATTGCTCGAAATCGCCTCGTAGATACCATTTCGTATGATCACTCGAAGTGACGCAAATGCAAAGCTCCCAAAAGGCTCCGCACCCGATGAGAAATCTCCAGAGTTTAAAGGTAGAGTCGTTAACTGGTGAAGGCGGCTTTGGTAACTGTCAATGGGTTGGGAAAATCTGACACGAAAGCCTTGCATTCTCTTGCTTTTATACTTTCGCCAGTTACGCGGTATTGTTTCCTCTCAAAGACTTTCCCTGATGCTTTGCCTTCCTGCCACTTATTTCGTTATCATATAGTTGTGAAGAAAGGCAATGGAATGAAAGTCTTCCTTCTTCGTTACCCCCATGAACTAAAGTGCTAACCTTTAATCCTGAAGCCGACTGTATGCGTTCTTCGAAAGAAGAAGGCGTGTGTGATTAGATGTTTACAAAACAAATAGAGCAACGTGTATTGTGTCAAAAAATACACTGAACTTCTACGCTGAGTTGAACTATGGTAAACAATAAAAGTGGAACCCTAGTGATTGGTAAGGAAAATCACAACTACTTTCCTGGAAATGAATGAATCTAGGCGAAGAGTGCTCATTCAACTCTATCGGAAAGATATGTGGTGGTTGTCGGTGGGAAACAAAGGCTGGAATGATCAGTTGGTCCGTAGAGCCGAATATAGGGGCACATACATTTGTAACGAGTAGGAGGCGATAATGAGGACAAATTCATCTAAGAGGAGAGCTATCAACACGTAGAGCCAGATATATGCTGTGGATTCTATGTACCTGTATATGGAAGATGCACAGCCCTGAAACGAAGGAATGAAGATACAATCTCTTTGACTCATTTAAATGCATTGCAACATTTTACATTAAATTGTGGCAACTTTACTGTCTTATTATGCGATTTTATCTCAACAAGGCTAGAGATGGTATGATATGAAACTAAGTATGAGTTTGTTTGACTCTGTTTATTCATCCATATCAAGATATTAAGAGTCAGTATGAAATTGGAGAAGCAAAAGGGATTCTGGTTACCCAATTTGGTTATCACCATTTTAGGCCTTACCCACGTTTAATTTTTTCTATCTACTTAATAAATTCGGTAGTATACTTTTTGATGCTAAAGGAAGCTTGAAAGGCATAATTTACTTCAAACAGATTTTATTATAATTTGTCTTTAAAATATGGACTTAATTTCAGCATCATTTAACCCTTCATTGAGGAGGATTTGAGTGAATCCCACCTTACTGTGAGATAATTCACAACTTCTTTACTAAAGTAGAAGGGAATAGACGAACACCAAGTACAAAACAGCTCTAATTACTCGAAGAAAAATAATAAATTACAACCACCTCATTGATTTAGAGTTAACTCACTTGTTTTTGATACGTAAAGTGGTTTGAATTGTGCCGTTATTGTCATGGAATTTGGATCCCTAACCTCTTAAAACTTTTTCCTGAAGGTGATTTGTGGTCTATTGAAGGGATACATTAACTTACTCTCACATACAGCCCCGGATACCCGCAAACACCATCGAGAAGGTTTGGATTGACGCAACAGGAGAGGGGGGGTCCTAGATTCCAGTCGCCTTGTCCATCAGCACCGCAGCATTTATACTGCAAATTAAGGTGTTCAGTGTCTCTTAGTAAAAGGGATTATTACTACCTTGAATCTGTCATTCAAAGGCCACCGAAGACTGGCACAACTAAGAAGAAGTTATAAATCGATTCTGATTCCATAGAACTAAATTTGGTTGTATGAATTCAATTAATCGTGATGCCAAACTTACTCACTACTACGTAAGCTTGGAATAGTCTTATGAGGAAAACCGAGCAGTTACCTAATCTTTGCGCACAAGACAAGCCTTTATTAAGAACGCAAGGAATGTTCTGCGACTGAGATGTTTCAAAGGAACTATAACAATGTAAAATTCGTCCATCGGTAGAGTTGGTTTTGGCGGAAAAGATCGTGGATCCTGCTGGTGCCCTTTATGGCATTTGCTTAACCGTTATACAACCCACTCAGGCGGTTGGGATAAAAGTTGTCTTGTCATCAAAAGGTTACTTCTGATGGGTTACTTTCACATGACACAATTCAACAAGGACAGTGAATAGACTTAAAATGACGAAATTGTAAATTAGTTCTCGAAATCACTAGCCTTCTGCACCTCTTTATCAGTAGTATAGCCTCACTCTCTTTGCGAAGTTGAACTGTGACTGATTAAAAGGAGGGATACTGCGATCCCATGGATGACACAATTTAATCTCAGACGCTAGATTCCTACCATGAGCAGAGGGGTCAAAGTGAAATAGTCTTGACTTCCTTGGCAGTGTGGAGAGATAACGGCAGACCAAATGACTTGGCAGCCTCACATCGAGTATTCAGGAGTAGATGGCCGAAAAGTTCCTTAATACAGCAATCCTAATGTTCAAATTTTTAGTAATATCAAAGCAATTTTAAAGGATTTACAATGAGGATGTCAGCAACGTCGAGGACCTATTACATCCTTCAATTCGGTGCATTAAGATAAAGGCGTCGGAGACACATTAAAATGATACGATGAATCAACATTTTCAAGGCCCTGTTGAGACAGATTAGGGTTTCTTGAATTGCTGAAAGGTTATGAATAACCGGATAGTTATTTACCCGTGTTTGAATGATCTCCAGCATCAAGGCAGCCTCTGAGTTGCCATAGATTTCAGCCTCTGCGATTAACTGGCGAATCTCCTTCGAACTCGCCGATACAAACTACAAAGGCAAATATGATTGAAGGCTGATGAAGGGTTTCGACACCATCAACCTACGTCTTCTCGGATGTTATAAAGCGTTAGTCCGGCGGTAAGTTGACCAACGAAGACCAGTATGCTGAGAGAGATGAACTTAAGAAAAGGAAGAAACAGATGTTAGGCTGATGCAACAGCCACGCATTATGACATTTAAAGCCACTATTAGTCCCCCTTAATTAAGGAACCTTTAGAACTGCATTACAGTCTACCATAAACACATCTATCATGCGAACGGTCTGAATCAACAACCAACCACTCGAATGACGCGAAGGTTTATGAAGAAAGCACCGACGTAGCCAAGGCTGGTGATGGCGATGGTAACGCCACCGAAGATCATCAAAGTTAGTAGAAGCACAATTTGGAGGATAGTGCAGTGTGTTCTGCAGTGTTCGAAGAAAAAGTACAACCCGATGCCCAACAAGGCCAGGCCGAGGAGCTACACAAAGTTAAAATTAGGTGCACGTGTTACCATGACAAAGTCGACTTTTGGGTGATCAGCTTGTGAGTGATTCGTCGTTTCTTAGGCAAAATGACTGTGTGGAATGCGAGCGAGGCTAATGAATGCAAATCGGTGACGGGATCGGGATTAATAAAGAAATAAACAATTCAGCATAAACAATTTGAAAGTAGGAAAAAGGTTTCAATACTCTTTGTTTTCCTTATCATTAATTAAGCAACAAGGCACAAGAGATTGTGCTTAATTTACGATGGCAGGATTTCTGGAGTGGCTTCAGTATACCTCTTCTTTGAACCACTATCAGGGTTATGCAAAATCCTGATTGAGGATGCCTGAAATGGAGCGAACGCATAGACGACAAATGCTTGTGGTGTCAGTTTCGAGGCCAGCATTGCGCCTCCTATCGTTTGTAACACCGTCACGGTGACCGCCAAAAGTCACAGCTCAGGCTTAACGCCTCCATAGTTGTGCCGTAATGTGGAATCGACCTAGTAAAACCTCACGTGTTCCAATCCGACCTCCACAGGCTCCCTCCGACATCAGACATTACCATAGCATTTAACAAAACTCCATTCTGCAAGTTCGGAGATGCAAATGACGTGTCAGATGTTCTTAAGCAAACTACGCTATTCCAGCGTTTACACGTTGTGGTACTGAAAGGCCACTAATGTGTACTGCCTAACCATAAACTGTGTGAACAAACGCAAAACTTAAGCCACAACTGCTGGGATTGCGTTCAGAGAGCATAAACTGGCCTGTCCCTTGGTTCATTGAAATTAGTACAAAGTGGCTTTGCACTTTTAAAGGACTGTAAATACTAAAAAAAATTACGCGTTGTTTGTTTTACCGCTATTGAGGGGTGAATGCCAGTGTCGGCGTGACGGTGTAATTTCTTGACTGGACTCCGATCCCAAGGCTCAGTTGCAGTCTTTATCACTACAATAACTAATTATAGCAAGTCGCAGTAACGATAGATCGGATGCATTTCAACAAATCCTGTAAATGCAAAATATTTCTGCTTTGAGAAGAATCAAATAGTCGGTCAACTATTGTTCACTTTACATAGAAGCGGAACAACCTGCTCCTGATTTCAGTCGGCATCTGACATGTTACGATGCTTCAAACAGACCAAAATTCGTGTCATTTTTCATTGTGGCCACTGTCACGGGACCTTGCTGAAGTCGATGCAGTAAGAAGTTGCTATGCTTGCTATGTTTGGATAAAATGATTAGAATGAAACGAAGTTAAAGTAGTTAAAAGTATGCAGTCCATACAACACGGTGGAATCAAAGTGGGGCTAAAAAGCGACGACTGAATCCATCGTGACACCCTCGTACACTCACCACGAGGCGGACGAATGTTGACCGCACTGGTCGAATGTTAACGGAAGGAAGTGTTGTAACTGTGATCAGCTGAACTCGAACCCTTCACTGACAGCCCTTCAACAGTTTGGGAATGCTTGCATCATTCAAGTGACTAATCAGCTAAACAAATCCGCACTGCAACGTGCTGTGCTTGGGATACATCGTGGACGTAAATTCAGCATCGCACATTCCTGCTCACACGCTCTGCAACGATCGTCAACCTTCTTAATGTACAGTGTCGAAATGGACTCATCACTTTGCCATGGAAGCGCTCCTTTCGTGTTACAATGAGTTGAGGTTTCTTTTAAACATTGACAGTGTAAGGTGTCAGGCATTATGGCAGTCGGCCGTTTTGTTACAGCAATAAATATGCTCGTGCTATTCTTGAAAATGCCAACCACACATTAAGCAAAACACTAATGGAGGTATTCTACTCTCACAGGTTTGAAGCCAAATGGATGAGGAGTGATGGTGTTAAAGGGTTGATCGTGTAAATCGTTGGAGCAAGGCCAACACTGATTTAGGTTACGAGAATGATAGGTGCTGGTGTGCAAGCTACAACCGGTTCAAAGGTCACGTTTGCATGAGAGTGCAGTCCAGGGCGATGCTAAACCGGTACAAACACGATGACGGACATAAAATAGCTTACCTCGCCCATTTGGTGGCCACTCACCTTCCGCTGTCCACTTCACATAACGCCAAAGTAATTGCTCCATTATTCTAAGGGGTTTTATAGGATGTGCTAGAAGCAGTCGCGGTAAGAAAAAACAGTCAGTCAGTTCTGGTGTCTCATTAAGACTGGTCTGTCAATTTTATCTTTGTTTATTTAGGCGACCTTTGTTGTGCTCCTCGAGAACATACAAGTGGTTGCACCAGGCCATTGGACAAGCAAAATGACTTAGTTTAAATGCCACATGAAACGTAGAATTTCCCTAAGTAGAGGACCAATAAAGATGAAAGTTGATCCATCCCTGCGATCGTGGTGTTAAGAGCCGCATCATCGTGACAAAGTGTCTCGAGGCTGTCTGCTTCGCGTCCATACACTTGAACACGTAACGTTCCGCGAAACCCAAATGGAAGACGGCGAACCTCGTGCGCAGGCGTCGAATTATGAATGTAAAATCATCAGACGTAGAGAAGGGCTTTGGGTTACTGGCTTTTGCCGGAAGAAGGAGAAATTACAGAACCCCCAAGGGGCTTATTACACAAGTTATAAATTAAAATAACAATAAGGACGTTGCAGTTCGATGGTACTCAAGCACCATGCATGGAGATCTACAGACTTGATCGAGATTTACAGGGTGAATAGTAAGTTTAACAAAGGGAATTAAAGACCTTTTAACGCACAACAGAAGTGGCAGAACCTTACTTGACACCCAAGACATCTGTAAGCACCTTTAGATGAACGGTTTAATCACTTGCCCTGGAAAAGCGAATTTTCAATGCTAATATAGAACGTCCTATAGTCATTGGTCAAAAGAGTGCCCGTTGGAGCACATACTGAGGTAACTTCCAGCAGAAGCAAATGCAAAACCAAGATTCAATGTTGATTTGGAAAACGTTGGAAAACATCTCCAATCAGAGAAATGGACGAGCTGCAACACGCAGCAGACCAGCGCACCGACAATGCCATCGTTCGTTTATAAGGCGTGTAATTGACACCCCCTAAGCCACAGCCCAAACGTGCTGACGAATTTAAGCTAAACACACCGAACACCTTCGATACACCTAGTCGTAAAAGCATCACTTAGAGCTGAAAGGGAAGAAGCGGTTGAATTTTTTTTTCACCTCAAAACCGTCGACACTGATTCCCCTGTTCCCTTGCGCGAGCAGCCAAATAGCTGAGGATTAAAAAGTATCAATGTTTAATATCGTATTTGCTATATCGTTGAATTTGTCCAAATTCTGTTTCCAACACATTCTACGCCCACACGGGTTTGCATTGGTGCATACTTCAACACATGAGTCAACTCATTAGGAGTAGAAGGGAGTTAATGGACTGCAAGCCGAACATGTGACTGTGCTTGCAAGTCTTCAAAGGCTGAGGAGAGGATTTTGCATTAAGTGTGAAAAGATTCATTGTTTTTCAAAAGGGGTCGTATGGAGAATCTGCGTAGTTAAAAGTTTACATGAGTTTGGGTATGAATAGCAAAAAGGTAAGCAAAGTGTTTGACACACTTACAAAGGCGAGGGAG